GCAGTTGCTTTTCCATGAGTGCACGAAAGGGTTTTAGGTACGTGATACATGAAAGGTTCTACATGAAAATTAAGATACACCAGCTTATCAATTTGTGCTCACTGTGGTGCGTTTACCTTGACTAGTCTTTGAATTCTGGGGTGAAACAGTCAAGAAACCTGTTCCGTAAGGAGAGCCACTAACGCTAAAGAGATAAGGGATGAGGTTTCCAGAGACCTTCATTATCTCCCAAAGGGGGTGCCCCGCCATTTGCCAATCCCTGCTGTAGTTGTTACGATTGGAGGGTGAATATGAGGACGATGCAGGTCGTGCCAGCTCGATCATGACGAACACAATGGTGCCTTCATCACAGCTCTACTGCCATTTTTGACGAAGTTAATCAACAAGGACCGGAATCCTACCCTGGGGCATTTCACCTGACATCAGAGGTCGCCGGACCTGAGACCCTTTCACTCAAATTTTTAACGGACCGGTGCATACGCTCTTTGTTCCCGCGAAGCTCTAAGTAAATAAAATCCATCAAAAAGTGTGATCAAATGACGGCTGGTGATCTTCCATGACCTAGCATGACCTTTTGAGTGACCACCGATGACATGACCACTGACGGCTAGCCAGTGGCGGATCCAGGATTTTCACTGGGGAGGGGTTGCAGGTCATAATTGGGCGCCACGCCCCGGATGGGCGCCATAGTCGCATCGTATTGGCGCTGAAATATTGGCGCCCAGTGGCCCTGACAAGAGGCGCCCAGGATCAGTATGTACAGTGACACCACACGATTGGAAATATCGGTGCGGAGCGTACTGAAACGACGTTATTCGACTGATTTTTGCATCCTAGTCCTAGTATGCGGCACTCCGATGAGTTGCGAATTGAAAATTGGCGCCACTGCGCCTTCGGCGCAGTGGCGCCAGTTTTCCTTGGGTGGGGGCTGCCAGCCCCCGCAGCCCCCCCTGGATCCGCCACTGCGGCTAGCCATTAGCTGCACCCTGCCCGTTGCATATATGGATCAGGTGGTGATGTCATAATTCTGTGAAATTATCTTGCAGTTTTGGCGCGCTTGTCAGAGCAGAATACATTCCCACTTTTCTTCCATGGCTATTTGATAGTGAAGCCATCAATCTGACCAGACATAAGATCGCAAATTTGAAAGTACGAAACATAAGAAAAGTTGGCACTGCTACTCATACCTAAGCAATTCGCAGCTTGTAGGAAATTAGCTTTGAGTTGACAAGACTGCAAATTTTGATTTAGAGGCAAGGATGCTTGAAAAGGTGATCGATCTTAGGTGTCCTAGGCAGGGCTGCGGAGTCGATGGAATTTCGGCGACTCCGACTCCGACTCCGACTCCGGCTTTCAAAAACCAGCTCCGACTCCGACTCCGACTCCGGGCAGAATTGTCGACTCCGACCGACTCCAACTCCCGACTCCGACTCCGCAGACCTAGCAGGGCTGCGGAGTCGACAGATTTTCGGTGACTCCGACTCCGACTCCGGCTCGGGTTTCTAAAATCGACTCCGACTCCGACTCCGACTCCGGTCACAACTGTCGACTCCGACCGACTCCGACTCCGACTCCGACTCCGCAGCCCTGGTCCTATAGGATAAGTTTGGAAACAGGATGCACCGTTCGATGTGTTTTGGGCTTTGCCAAGTTTCGCGGCGTTACGTGCCTCGTTTTTTTTTGCATACCTACACGATCAGTATCTACTTCTGGGGTTTTCGGTCAGTCAAGCCCCCGTCCCCGTCCCCCCCTATCGAAAATCCGTGGCGCCGCCCCTGCCCGCGTGGGACCCTCAGGGGGCATCATGGGCTTCTAGAGACCGGCGTGGGTTCGAGAGCGGCATAGGTTCGTCAGACTGACTCAAAGACTCCCAAGAGCCAGCGGCGGGGGGGGGGGGGGGCTATCAGGTCAGCCATAGCATGGGTCTCTTAAGGCCATTATGGGGCCCGGAGCCCGGAGGTCAGCGCGATTCACTCTGTTGCCGGTGTGGGGCTTCCAGAGGCCAGAATGAGCCTTCAGAGGTCGGAGTGAGGCCAATGTGGGCGACAGTGCCATCGGAGTCTAGATCAGAGCTCAAGTCGAGTCGGGCCCTTCTAAAGTTAAGGGTATCGGCCCTCAACCAGCACAAGACACTAAGAGATTGACACCTGCCCTTTGAAAAATGTTACAATCGTAAAAAATTGACAAAACATTTTGCTTTTGATAATCTTTAGTGGCCCCGGCGACGACCAAAGCAAAAAAAAAAACTGTATGCCTACTGCTGAGATAAATTGTACACTACATACAGAGCTTTTTCACGTTTTTCTTTTCTTTTTTAGATTGCCGAGTGTGCCTAAAAAGGCTCCCTTACATGGTGAAAGTGGCAAAGAACCGCACCTGGGCGTGGGTTAACCCTCGCCCGTATAGGGGGGGGGGGGTCGAACGGACCCCCCCCCCATGGTTTTTCGCGAATAACTCACGTAAAAAGCGGCCGATCGCGACGTAACTTTCAGTACCCTCGCGTTGATCAATTTTACACCTACCCTGAAAATTTCATGACCCTGACCCCAATGACCTTTGACCTGTGACCTACTTTTCGAGACCATGTTTGGCCGGAATCGCGATTCGGCGTATGTCGGCTCGCATTAGCCGCGCGTTTGCAGTCTTTTCGTGGTTTCAAGCGTTCAAACATGTGATATGATGTTGCCCCCATGCATTAGGGTGGGTGTCAAGGTCACCTGAAGGTCAGGTCAGGTCATTGACCTTTGGTGACCTCGGTTCACTTTTTCGAGTTTTACATGTTTCTAGACCAGTTTTTGGAGCTGAATTCGAATTTAGTAACCATATGAACGTTTACGAAGTAGTTTTGGTACCTTCGTAACATGTTACGAAGCTGTCAGAGGCGGTTGACACCTACCAGGAATACCCGGCAGGACCCCTACTGGTTGACCTGACCTGACCTGACCCGACCTGGACTAAATGCATAAAGACATCATCTGTGATCAAAACTAACATGATATTCGTGATCGGCGCCCCGAAAAACCCCGTAGCAGCCACACTTTACGACGTTCTAACAGGTCCCGATTTTCCCGACTTTTGGGTCAATGACCTGACCTGCAAGGTCAACCAATGACCTAGGACCTTAAAATTAGGTATCATCGGCTTCCTCTCGTCACGGGCAACACGCTCGTTTTTTTCCGCGAAGCTCTAGCTCGATCAGGGGCGAAACGGCAAGGGGGGGTCCAACGGACCCCCCCCCCCCTTATACGTTCGCGGGTGGAAAAACACCAATACGGGCGAGGGTTAAGTAGGTACGCCACCACTGGGGCCCCTAAGGTAAGGGTGGGGCCCCTTGAGCAGGTTTGGCCTCCCCCTTTTCAAGATCCTGGATACGCCACTGCCATCGCCCCATAGTCGCCGCGGTGGAGTGCCGGTTTCGGTGTTACTACTTGCTCGTTTTCAGCGTAGCACCGCAGGGTGAACGTCAGGACAACGTGGTCGCTACTGCCGAGTGGCGGATGGCTGCGGAGGTCGAGGACCATGCCTTCCTCGTTGGTCAGCACGAGGTCCAGGACGTACGGCGTCTGTCCGGGGCGGTATCTCGTTGGGGACAGCACGTGTTGAGTGAGGAAGTGGTCCCTAAAAAGTTCAAGGAGCTCATGCGACCAATGTCCAGTTGGTGCCCTTGATAGGTACCTCAGCTGTCCAGTCGATTTCGGGAGCGTTGAAGTCACCGGTAATCAGTAGGTGTGAAGGTCCTGAGGCGGCGACGAGATCCAGCAGATGGCTCAGCTGGCTGGTTGATTCCAGTGAGCTAGATGGGCTCCTATAGGTATATGCACCCAATCAACAGAATGTCGCTGCCTGCCAGACGGATATTTAACCATAGTTGTTCGCGGAAAGGACTGGCAAGAAACCTAACTTCGGAACAGGGCAAGGAGTCGCGAACATAAATGCAGATTCCACGGGGCCTTACAGTACCTGAACTCAGGGGCGGATCCAGAAAATCTCCAAGGGAGGGGCCATTAGAAACCAGGAGGCCCCCCCATAATCCCACCTGTTGGAGGCCCCATCTTCCCACTTGTTGGGCCCCCCCCCCAAAAAAAAACTGCGTCTATTGAGCTTATCTAGCTGTTCAGGCAACATCTCAACATCTGTGCAGGCTTGGAGGCCCTCTGTGCAGATTAGGAGGCCCTGTAAAAGTGGTCATCTCTGTGAGTATAAGAGACCTCCAAGTTATGAAAAGCTTTACCAATCTTCTAACAAAGAAGTCTTCTCAGCTAGTCTTCTAAGAAATAACTACCTAAGTGGGTAGGTTAAAAAAAAAACTCATCGGATTTCGGCCACTTTATTTTCAGGAGGCCCCCTTTTCAGCTTTTTAACTTTTTAACTTTTTATTTTATTTTTGAAAAAAAATCGGCCAAGGGGGGGCCATGGCCCCCATGGCCCCCCCTTGTATCCGCGCCTGCCTGAACTTACAACATCAGGAATGAAGCTTTGTAACCAGGAATGGCAAGGCGCGCAGCAGACACGGCGGAGACCTGGACTTTGGGCAAAACCTCAGTGATCAGAGCATGATGTCGGGCTCCGTCCCAGCTATCCGCGCATAAAGATCATCACGCTTGTTTAAGTACTGGTCGGCGTTAGTATACAGGATCGACAGTGCTCGTTTCCCACGTGATTGTCATATCCGTTGCGTTTGCCGATCGCCGTCGGTGGCAGCATATGTAGCTGCAGTGTTTTCTCAAGTGTTTCGGAGTGCTCCTTGGCTACCTGGATCAGTTTCTCTGTGTGAGACTCCTGTACATTCATCAGTGTATCCAGCTGCGTTTGGATGGCTGTCTCAGACGTAATTATCATAACAATGATAAAATTTGTTATACTTATTATAGGTCAATGATAATTCCTAACAAAGAACTATTATGACGTCATCATAACGCCCCCTATCGCATAATCAGCTGGCGAAAATGTGCGAGTCGCCGATCGGCCGTTAGGTTACGATTTTGGGATCTTTAGGGCCGTCCACGGTATATAGGGGCCGTCGTCCTTGATTTTGGGTGTTGTCCTTTTGTCTTCGGTCATCTATATACCGTGTTTTTGAGTATTTTGTCATTGTATATGACTTTCCCGCTTGGGAATCAATTATACTGATCATTCCAGGTGAGTTAATCCAGTACGGACTACGGTGACTCGCCCAACTGCCACCAGCCTGGTAAGAACGCCGTGACTCTGCCTCAGCCTCGGGCCGTAGTCTGAGTCATAGGTAATTTTCAGTGTTTTCTTTTTTTACCAGACAATTGAATATGAAATGATGTTCCACTTTTTCACAGGCCATAAGTTGCCTGGAGCGGTAGCGGTAGTCTGAGATTTATTGCACAGGCTGGCTGTCGGCTGAGACGTGGCCCTGCCGCCCACTGCCCATTGTTCACCATAGCTTTAGCTGGATACGCTTCTGAAAAAAACAACAGCATGCCAGTCAACCTCAACGGAAAGGGCAAATGTCATGGTAATGTCCAAATATTTTTTTAGGGACAAATTTTTCATGTTCTTACATTATTTGAGATCCTGAATCAAAAATGATACATGTCTTGCAAATACAAGAAAAACAATCAAACTTGACCTAACCCTACCTCAACCTACAACCTAGGTACCAACCTACAACCCAACAACCTACAGCCTAAAACCTACAAACCTGCAACCTAATACAACCTAAAAACCTGCAACCTTTAATGAAAACTTCTGCTGTTGTATATTCTTATAAATAGTGCAACCATTGTAGTTTGGACCTTATCTTGACAAATACCACCAAGGGCTTTGAGGAGCTGAACATCATTATGTAGTTAGCTGTGCAACAACATTTCCTGTACAGTTGAACACAGGCAGGATTAGGAATGTGAATTGGAATTGTCCAGTTGAACAGTGAACATGACACACTGAGGTATTTTTCTTTTCCCGTGACATGTTAAAATGTCCATTGGTTGGGTGGCACCCAAGAGTTTTGCAATACAAATTTAAGCCATTATGAAAAACTGAAAATTCACACTAATGGATTTAGCCCAATTTTCAACATTGTTGGATATTGCTCATTTATCTTGCATTATTAACACCAGTTCATTTTCATCATTTGTGCATTTTGTAGCTTATACATGAAGTGTGAGACATTTGCCCTGTATTCTCATGCCAAGGTGATTGTGACCACAAGAGCTGTTTTCAGGAATTGCCATGGTGTCCGAACAGCTGGGCACACTGGGCATGAAGTGGGACCCCAAGAATCTGGAGATACGCACCATGTCTGTGGAGCGCACTCTGGAGCCGCTCGTCCTGCAGGTCCATATTCTGTTGCAGTCTCAGCATCGTGCCACCCTCCCCCTGCAGCCTGCCTGCCTGCCTGCCCAGTACTAGAATGGCTTGGTTGATGGCATGCTATTCATTTGAGTGCTCCCCATCTGGCCCATGTCACCCAGCACCCAGCTGAATTATACTGATCTGTTTTTCAGTGTGAACTGTGCATGCCAGGATGACTGAGGTTAACAGTGGTAAAATTGAGTTTGTATGGAACCCAGAGGACCTGGAGATCAAAACCCGCTCCGTTGAGATGACATTGGAGCCATTGGTCTTGCAGGTAACATGATGTGCAGTTACCAGACAAAGCTTGTGGTCAATGGTTAATGCATTCTGATGTTTTTTTTTTTAATTTAGCCTAATCATCTTGGCACCATTAGTGTTTTTGCTAAGGGCATATACCTATAGAAGGATGCACGTGTTGAATTAACAAAATAATTATTATTGCATCATTTTTTCAGCATGTTATCACCCTGATAAGTTGTAGCTGGTGCTTAATATTGGTGCTTTTTATGCTCTATTACTGGTGCAAAGTATTCAGATTGATGTTTTGCATGTCAGATGCACTGTCAATGCACACATTTCCCATTTGATATACCTACTTGGTATAGTTGAGCATCTTATTTGTTGAGGTGTGTAGCTGAAATATTTACATGAGTTTTTATTGAATGTCATATTTTACCAACAATGGTTTTCACATTCATTCCATAAGACTCTGAAGCCAGTGAACTAAAGTTGATGGATGTTGTTTTATTCCCTGGCTCAGTGCATCCGCGTAGCACAGCTCGCGTGCACTGTGTGTGTTCGTCCGCTGACAGTCTGTCTCTGCTAGGTGACCACTCTGGTGCACACCAAGGGCCCCACCAACAAAAAGAAAGGCCGCAGTAAGCGGGCGCACGTGCTGGTGGCCGCCGTGGAGAAGGCCACGGCCAACTTCCTGGAGCGGGGCGAGCAGATCGCCATGGAGAACCCGGACATCCGCCAGGAGATGCTGGTCGCAGTCGACGAGGTCAAAAAGACCGGTCAGTACGGGGCCGGACGAAATGACGGCACGGGATCAACACTTGACGTGACATTTACATGAAGCGGTATGGTGTGCAGCTAGGCCTCGCCCAACCCTCCTACCTCATTTTTCAGCCATGCAAGGATAGTTTGATGGTGGCATTTGTACCTAACCATGAGCGAATTTAGTTACCCTATTAGACGCATTCCCGGGCATTTGTAATGCATTTCAGCTACCAAATGCCTTTGCCACCGCCTCACAATGTCTCACTGTCTGCGCAGGCGAGGCTATGAGCACGGCGTCCCGGGCGTTTGCCGAGGAGCCGTGCAGCTCAGCGAAGCGGGGGAACATGGTGCGCGCGGCGCGTGACCTTCTGCTCACGGTCACTCGTCTGCTGATCCTGGCAGACATGGTGGACGTCCACCAGCTGCTCAAGTCGCTCAAAACGGTGAGCTGACGGGTGCCGAGGGGGAACGAGACGTGGAGTGCCTGTGGGATTTATCGGCGGCGGTACACTGCTAAGTTATGCCTGATTGCTAAATGTATTCTTGTATTCCATGGCTGATTTTGATTTTCATTAAACTGGAAGTTATTTGCTTTACCATAATAATTGTGTGTGATTAGTGATGACAGTTACAGATGCACCAAGTAATTGATTTATTAAACCTAGATGATTTATATTTGTTTTTGCTCTACATACTAGTGATTCGCGCCCAATGGTCCTTTTCGTACCACAGCACTTCCCCTGACGAACCCACCGGACTTTCCTCCACCTGACGGAGCATTCGACCCTTCTCCGCAGGTGGAGAGCGACCTGGACCGTCTGAAGAAGGCCTCCAGTCAGGCGGAGCTGATGGACAATTTCCAGGCGTTCGGCCGCAACACGGACGAACTGATGAAGCAGGCGGCGCGCCGGCAGATGGAGCTCAAAGACCCGCAGCTGCGCGATAACCTGGCTGCCGCGCGCGCCGTCCTCAAGAAGAACAGCATGATGCTGCTCACCGCCTCCAAGGTAGGACTCTGGCATTGTAGGGACAGCGTCTTCTTGCAGGTCAATCGCTCACGTTGTGGGATTGCAGTGACATTGACGTGACGTAACCGTGTTACAACGTTGACTGATTGTATGCCTACTGTGATCTCGGTGTCACTGGGTTGATGTAACTCACTTTATTTTCCAGGCTGTCAGATCAGCTCACTAATCTTGTCTCACCAACCGTCTCATCATTTTCATCCCTTTTCCGGTCATTCCTCTCTGTGTCTGTCCACTTTATCCGTCCATCCCTCCCACGCTCCTATTCGTCTGTGGATCTCACGACTCACCCTTCCGTCTTTATGACCGGACAGGCATACGTGCGCCACCCGGAGCTGGCGGCCGCCAAGGCGAACCGCGACTTCGTGCTGCGCCAGGTGTGCCAGGCGGTGGACACCATTAGTGACATCGCCAACGGCCGCGCTCCGGGCGCCGGCGGCAGCGGCGGCGCCGGCACCGGCACCGACCTGTCCGAGGCGCCCGGCGTGCTGGCCGCCGCCCTCGACGAGTTCGATGTACGTATGATACATCCGGGGAGGGGAGAGTTAGGCCACGGAGAGAATATTAGAAAGGGGAAAGGCATGGTGACTTGTTAGGGATTTCCTCAGTGTAGGGGGTTTGAGGGTAAGTATGTGGCTTCAGTTTTGGTCTGCTCTTATATATTAATATGAGTATTATTTTGTGGGGGATATTTTAATCCAGGGCTTCTATAAATCTCCCTATATTTTGATAGCCAGTCCAGCCTGTCTCCGAGCCATGCTCTTGTACCTGTAAGCATTGACCCATGTGTAGATGTGACTATCACTCGCTGGCGGAATGGTAGTGTTATCGTGACCTCTTCGCCCCCTCTCGTCACTCGTGCAGGAGCGGATCATGATGGACCCGCTGACGTATAACGAGGTGCACACGCGGCCGGCGCTGGAGGAGAAGCTGGAGCTCATCATATCGGCCGGAGCGCTGGTGGCTGACTCGTTCTGCACGCGCGACGACCGCCGTGAGAAGATCGTCTCCGAGTGTAACGCTGTGAGGCAGGCGCTGCAGGATCTGCTCTCCGAGTACATGTCCAACGTGAGTGGCGAGTGAGCTGTGATGGCTGGTTGTGAACTGCTAAACTACCATAGTGATTGATAATAGGTTCACATGTTGATATTTGGGTGTTTATAATTCATCTTCTGATGAGGTTTTAGGCACCATGTAGAAGTCAAGTTAATTTGGCTCTACCTTTGTAAATGGCGTAGAAGAATTACAATGCGCTATTCAAAGGGCTATCCCATGCTCAATTAATCCCGGCTCGAATTTTGGGTCATTCCTCTACGCTGGCTAAATCTGTTTTCCCACCTCCGACTGTATGCACAAAACATCGTCATTAGCTAGTCGGACCTGCCCTGACTCACTGATCACTCCTCTGCCGCTCAGATGGGCCGCAAGGAGCCGAGTGAGGAGCTGGACCGTGCGCTGGAGCACATCAGCCGCAAGACGCGCGACCTGCGCCGCCACCTGCGCAAGGCCGTGGTGGACCACGTGTCCGACAGCTTCCTGGAGACCAACGTGCCCCTGCTGGTGCTCATGGAGGCTGCGCGCGCCGGCAACGAGCGCGAGGTCGACGAGTACGCCAAGGTCCGACGGTGGTCCGGGGCGGGAAGGGGGATGCTCAGTCATTTGATGGGGAGGAGTTGACGAGGTGAATGATGGTGGAAAGGTTGGTAATCAAAGATTTGACGTGAAATGTCTCGCTTATATTGGCAGTTAAATTACTTTGTATACCAAGTAACAATTTAAGCCATGCACGTTTAAAGGTAGTGTGCCACCTTTGAAAGATTTCCCATTTTATTTTTCCTAGGATAAGAAGCTTCTGTTTTTACCTAATATCGCAAAAAAAATCAAAAATGGGCCTGGAATAGTGCCTTTTTCGCCTAAAAGTTTATCGGTTTTTAGATATGTATAACAACTGTAGTGGGCTCACCTGCAAACAGGCGTCGGGCAACAATCGCGAATGCGGCGCACTTGTGACAATAAGCAAAGGTCATTATAGTGTTACGACCACTGAACTCTATAATGTGGAATGCGCATTGGCCGCCAGATGGTGTCCAACGGTGCCGCCATGTTGCGCAGACCAGAAAGCGGCCGCCGCCTGTGTTGGGGAATAGGAAATTCGGGACTTCGATTTACGTTTGCGGCCGCTGCATCCGTTACGTTCAAGATATGTAGACACGGAACCCGGCATCCTACGCAGAATTGAGTGGAGAACAAGATGACATCTTAAAAAAATCCTCGACTACAGGGAACTTACACGTTCAACCCTTATAAGTCAATGGGGAAATATGGAAATTGCTATTTTGGCGCCGGGAATGATCTGAAACTATCTCAAGCATATAGAATCGTGATTTCATGCACTCCTTGCAAGGTCCAATGCCTCACATTTGCACTGTTGCCCTTGCGTGACGTCATCTGTGACGTCACAAAGGTCATAGCCTTTTCTTCAATAACTCCCGATCAAATTGAGCTAGCGAGTTGGGAAAGCCACCAATGGACTCAGGAAGACCTGCCGAATCGAATGATATGCGACATGACCTCTTTCGACCAACTTCGTGGCCTGGGGGTGCTGACCTGACCTTGACCTTAGGTCAACACCCTAAGTTGACCTGACCCGAACAAAAAGTATATCACTCGATGCGCCTGAGCTAGCTGAACACGATGATGCCAAAATCGCGGCTCTACGGCTATTTTTGGCGAAGTTATTTACCAAAAACCGAACCCATGCCTTTGATCACTTGACCTGACCTCAGAGGTCACCGGTTGACCTGAGACCCTTACAGCGGGTTCCTACCAGTCACTCTGCATTTTACTTTGCCGCATACGACCACTTTACCGCTTAATTCTAGTTAAATTAGCGGCGCATTAGCGAGGTGGGTTCAATCAACCCCCTCGGCCGGGGCAAATGTAGGTCCGGCGAGTGAATTTGAGGAATTCTGAAGATACGATCGTGTTCCCCACTCAATTCTGCGTAAGATGCCGGGTTTCGTATCTACGTAACTTGAACGTAACGGATATGGCGGCCGCAAACGTAAATCAAGGTCCCGAATTCCCTATTCCTCAACACAGGCGGCGGCCGGTTCTTGGTCTGCGCAATATGGCCGCCACCGTTAGACACTACGGCCAATAGGGTTGAAGCGGCATTGCTCCCCTGTGGTTACGACCATACGACGTACGGGAATGAGTTATCAGCTGTCTAATCGTAGACAACACAATGTCGAGCCTTAAACTGTAAGCCCGTATTGGTATTGTTGCTTTTATTTGGCTGTCGAACATTATTTATGGTTTGAAATATGATTTTATGTAAAATAATTGATATGAAAAAGCCGTCTTATAAGTTATGACCCCATTTCACCACACGCAAGTGGCAGAAATGACAATAATCAGCTGACGCATTTTTCTTGGCCGAAGTCAGAGCGCGCGGCCCGACGCACCACGCGTATTTGGAAATTCCGACCTCGACGAGCATCAGAAGCCAACTAACAGGCGTGTTCGAAACCGCAGGAGCTGATGATGAACGGGTTTATCGAAACTTGATTGGATGAGCATATCGGTAATAGCGATTTCAGTGTGTGCATTTATTGTTCATAGTGGTGTGAAATGTGGTTGGGGTACGACCGACAACCCGTCGGGGCGAATTTCGCACTGGGGTACTCAAAATTTGAAGAATTTAAGACGTTTCCATGAGTTTTGAAGGTATGGATAAGTTCTAAAAATCCGGTTCTCCTTATCTGGGCCATTAAAGGGACACTCCCACCTTAACATTAGTTTTGAGTTGAGATAGCCAAATTGGTGGCCATGGCCTGCAAATACCGGTTTGGGCACTCACAACATCGAGAAATGCTTTAATTCGAAGATATGGAATTTCAAACTTGCAGTTTTCGGATTCTAAGGGGCTAATGCATTGGTATGCCCCCTTAGAATTTGTGACGTCAGCGGAGATCTAACGATTTTTAAATCTTAGACTAAAACCATCGTTAACACGTGGTGGTATACGCTGCTTTGCGCGCAACGTCTGCCGCACTTTAAGGCTGCCAAATTATTGCTTCCAAATAAAGTCGCTAGTAACAGGGAGATCCCAAAAAGTAAACAAAAGTAAAAGCCTAATATCTTGAAAACCAGTGAATATTTTTCGGTGAAGTTTGGTAGATATTCGTTTTCGCTCTTTCTGAACCAAGGGACATCACTTTCATGCCAATTCATTAACTTTTTTGAAGGTGGGAGGGTCCCTTTAACTCCATACGGTCCAAGAAAGCTGGCACACTACCTTTAATCTTTTTTTGCCGGTATTATGGCTTACTCCGCCGGCGACTATATGCATCGGTGTAGTAACCTATGCTTGACTGTTTGGATCGAAGGCAATGCGGTGCCTTCATCGCAAAAGCCCGCAGGGACTATAGGCGCCTTTGACACATCCAGTAACATTGTGGTGAATAGCTGACCCTACACCTGGCCTGGGCGACACTCAGCGGTATTCACTGTTCGGGCCTTTCACCGGCTCCTTTGTCGGACCGTGCAGCGTTCGTTCACGTGGACAGGACGTGCCGTGTGTGCGGCCGCCGCGGGTGTTGACGCGTCACCTCTGACGGGCTGACTGACGTGTGGTACGTGCCCCGCAGGTGTTCCAGGAGCACGCCACCAAACTGACCGAGGTCGCCAAGCTGGCCTGCAACATGTCCAACAACGCCGACGGCGTCAAGATGGTGCTGTGCGCCACCTCGCAGATCGAGAACCTGTGTCCTCAGGTGCGGCTCGCGGCGAGGAGGAAGCTAGTCTAGTGGCAAATATGTTTGATGAGCGGGATATCAATGGTGTGTCGGACTTATTTTTAACTGTTACTGATTACCAAACCCTAAGGTACCCACCCCTTGTACCCAAACCAGATATTACTCGTAGTGAATCATATTTGTGTAATTATTTTTATTGATACTAAGTCATTATTTTTTGCTAATTGATTTATTCAAAGAACATGAATAACGTTCCGATCAGCGTCCATTACATGAACTTTAATCTGGACAAGCTTTTGGCCTCGTTATACCATAGTTACCCCCACTCACCCGTTCCCTGCCTACCGTTACAGGTGATTAACGCCGCCAAAGTGCTGGCCAGTAAGCCAAAGTCGAAGCCGGCTCAGGAGAATATGGAGATGTTCAGGGCCGCCTGGGAGAATCAGGTCAGTAGTGACGGGTGGAATCGTGTTGGTCATTGCTGGTGTCAAGTATGCGGATAAAGGCGCAAACGACGCTCGTATCCTTGATGTATGTTTTCCTTTGACTGCTACCTTGATGGCGAACGAATAGTCTTTTAACGTGACTGATGATATATATATAAGGTAGCGTTGTCAGGCACTTTTTGACGCACTTGTGTTATGATTGTGTCAATGACCACAGTTGGTTAGAATTCCACTGCCAGCTGATGATCGGCCGTATGTCTAACGCTATCGGCCCTCCACCCGCCGCGCAGGTGCGTCTTCTGACGGACGCCGTGGACGACATCACCACCATCGACGACTTCTTGGCCGTCAGCGAGGGACACATCCTGGAGGACGTCAACAAGTGCGTGCTGGCGCTGCAGGAGAGCGATGCCGACACGCTGGACCGCACGGCGGGCGCCATCCGCGGCCGCGCCGCGCGCGTCTGTAACGTGGTCGGCGCCGAGATGGACAACTACGAGCCGTGCATGTACACCGAACGGGTGCTCGAGGCCGTCAAGGTGCTCCGAGAACAGGGTACGCAGGCTGAGCGTGACCGGGAGACTAGTTTCCTGATTGACTCTTTCTCGTGTTTTATTGGTCGTCTTTTTCCCCCTAAAGCTAAAAATTGGAAGAAAGCCGCGCATGCAAGCTATGTATGAATATTCCATTCGGCCATTTTTTCTACCTTTTTGCACTTTTTCATGTGAATACCTACGGAAGCTTGGTAAGCAACAGCCACTCGTGATCAGTTAGTGTTCCGCATAGGGTACTGAACGCTGTTTCCATAGCCGTCCTATCCGGGTTTTAAGCCGTGACCCTGCTCCCTTCCAACAGTGATGCCCAACTTCGCCGAGCGCGTGGAGGTGGCTGTGGACGCTCTGAACGCCAACCCGCAGAAGGAGGTGGACGAGAACGAGTTCATCGACGGCTCGCGGCTGGTGTACGACGGCGTCCGGGAGATCCGGCGCGCCGTACTCATGAACAGGGTCAGCCGCCGCCCGGGGCTGCTCTCTGCTGCCAGTCGCACTATGGTTCCATCGAATCTTGACGAATACTGGGCACTCGTCAGGAATGGTCGATAGAGGATTTTGAGTGTGTGCCGGTGATAGACTATAGCATAGACCTTTAGCATTGACTTTGAAGCATACATGTAATGCGTGTAACTTACCTTAACTACCGGCGCGTTTGTTTGGCCGTGGGCATTCTCATTCCGTCTGCGTCGGACTCGGATCAGTATGTTGGGCGCACAGACCGCCCATTTCTCCAGTTGGCTGACAGTCTCTGTTCCTCTGACAGACGGATGATGAACTGGATCCCGAGGAGGTGGAGCTCGACGAGTACTACACCATGGAGACCAGGAGCAAGTGTGAGTACAGGACAGACGACGGAGGCCGAGGTACACCCAGCTGGGATATGTGCTGGGCTGGGTGTCCAGACGGGAGCTCAAGAGCTACACGTTCTATGAAATTGCTGCACGAGGTGACGCTCTCGCCCTTAGGCTGTTTGAACTCCCTTCAAGTATTCAATAGAAAAATTGCAGTATCAGACTTTTATCTAGATATCTGACGTCTTGTAACGGTCGTGCGTTGTCTATATCATAATGATGTGTCTGTCGTGTTGTCATGCCTTTTGTACGATTCTGACTGTCTTGTGGTGTCTCTCTGACAGCGAGCGCGCACACTACCGACCACATTGTGGAGGATGAATACCCGGACATCAGCGGCATCTGCACCGCCCGGGTCAGTCGGCGGGTGTGCCGGGGCGGGGGGGGGGAGGAGAGGGAGGGGCGGGGTTACGGGTGCTGCAGGGGTCATACTATCCTGGTGGAGGATGAATACCCGGACATCAGCGGCATCTGCACCGCCCGGGTCAGTCAGCGGGGGTGCTGGGAAGGGGAGGGGCGGGGGTTACGGGTGCTGCAGGGGTCATACTATCCTGGTGGAGGACGAATACCCGGACATCAGCGGCATCTGCACGGCCCGGGTCAGTCGGCGGGGGTGCATGTGGTGGGAGAGAGGAGCTGCTAAGGATGCTACGGGGTCAATACGCATGAACGAAACCCATACAAAACCCAGAGGAAATCGTTTGTTTCTAATAATTCACAGAGCCACTGCGGCTGATATTCAGGTGTTTGTTACACTGTTCTCATGATTCTGTAGCAATACCTGCTTGGATCGGGGAGACGAGCGGTTTGGCGGCTAGTACCGATGGCTTGCTACTTTACCGCCCATCTGTCTGGTATGAATGGTGATTACCTACCATCGTGCTTACACCCATACATCTGTTCCGTCACACCCTTGCAGGAGGCCATGAGGAAGCTGAACGAAGAGGACAAGGAGAAGATTGCCGAACAGGTCGAGTACTTCCGCACGGAGAAGCTGAAGTTCGACGCTGAAGTGGCCAAGTGGGACGACACTGGCAACGACATCATCGTCATCGCCAAGCACATGTGTATGATCATGATGGAGATGACTGACTTCACCAGGTGCGTGAGCGAGCCGTTCGGCCTTCTCGGTGGATGGTGCTTTTGAATGAAATGGGTGGAGGGATGTTGCTCTTGGGCATTTTTGTGTCCTAACCGTTCGTAGTGGCGTCTGGAACGAGCGGATAAGTTATTGGATGGGGTTGGCAGCGAACCATTCACATTTTTCAAATGACGTAGGATGTCATCTCAGGTAGTTTGAGAATTGATTTGTATTCTCTATCCGTGTGGTGGACAAAGATCAGACCTGTTTCTGGCTGACTCATGTTCTGTGTGTGACGAGGCTGTTGTAACCGACAGGGGCCGCGGCCCGCTGAAGACTACCATGGACGTCATTAACGCTGCCAAGAAGATCTCCGAGGCGGGCACCCACCTGGACAAGATGACGCGTCAGATCGCCGACCAGTGCCCCGAGTCGAGCACCAAGAAGGACCTGATCGCCTACCTGCAGCGGATCGCGCTCTACACCCACCAGCTCAACATCACATCTAAGGTATATAGGGGAGGGAGGCTAGTACGGACCTAACTACCCTTTCGCCCAATATAGGCTTGAAGGTGGGCAATTAACTTAACCGCACATTTGCCATCTCTTGTGCCCTGCACGGGTGTTTGAATGGCGGCTGGCTGTGTGTAGCCTACATAATCTTTCACTACGACAGCAGCACTAGTGTGGGATATGTAGTACCTCCTTGAATTATCTTCTTTCCATTCCTCGTCATGTGACTCAGTAGCCAAGGCTGCTCGACAGTCGGCTGTCCAATACAAACTGTTTATGCTCACACCCCCGTCCCCCCTCAGGTGAAGGCCGACGTTCAGAACATCAGTGGCGAGCTGATCGTCTCCGGTCTGGACAGCGCCACCTCGCTGATCCAGGCCGCCAAGAACCTGATGAACACGGTGGTGGTGACGGTCAAGGCGTCCTACGTGGCCTCCACCAAGTATCGCAGCACCCGCGTCTCTGTGAGTAGGGCCAGCGGCGCGCGCACGGCTCCGGCCGGCGCTGGGCGCGCTCAGTGGGGTGTTTGAGTGATTCGAGAGTTTAGACAATGAGGTTGGGATGACCATGTGCAATAAACAGTTGTTTCGTTCCTTGCGATGTTTTCCTTACTATGTCCTAGTTACCTTCCAGCCAGATCTCATCACATCCTTCTGAATACTTCGCCCATCAGTTACATAGTGTTTTGAGCATAATACTTAGTTAGTTTGTGGATCTGGCTGTCTGATGTCACAACATTGTGTTATATTTTCCCCAATGTCACATATTTCTTCTGAACTTCGACCTTTTCCGCCTTTTGTTTTCTGTCACAAGTGTAAGTTGATCCAATGGTGTTGACAATCACTGGTTGTTTGTTAGTTGTTACTGTATCCATCTTGACAAGTCATCTCACCAGTGTGAGCACCACTACCTTCCTCACCACGGGCCTCTCCTATCGTCGTGAATCTCTGCCTGCCGTCTTTCTGTCTCCAGTGTCCTGTCCAGCACCTTCACACCACTCTATGGGACCGTGGACGGGCCTAACCTGTGGTCTGTGTGCTCTTCAGTCTCCGATCGTGGTCTGGAAGATGAAGGCGCCAGAGAAGAAGCCTCTGGTGCGCCGCGAGAAGCCGGAGGAGGTGCGAGCCAAGGTGCGCAAGGGCTCGCAGAAGAAGCACCTGACGCCCATCAAGGCGCTGGCCGAGTTCCAGAGTCCGGCAGACAGTGTGTAGGGCGACTGACGTCCGCCCCGCCCGGTCCGCGGAGTGTCCTAGCCTCCTAGCAGGGCTGCACATTGTCACACCGGTGACTCGCCTCGGGGACCTCTTTCGTACAGTCGCAGTATAACAAACCGGACTTTTCCTGGGGATATGACATACATATGAAGCTTCCAAAGAATGCGGGCCGAGATCCAGTCTACTCCTTTGTGATCATGTGTTTCTGTATCCATGCGAAAGCCATGATGGACACCTTTTCTGCGTTTGGGATAGTAGTTTACTGAAATCCTGCGGTGGCTTTTTGATCCGACCCTGTCCACCTGATCAGCTGTTAAAAACCTTTGAACGATACTGTCTTTGCTCTGCCCCGCTCCTTCCCCGGGTTTGACCGATACCCTCCTACCCACAAAAAGGACTGGGTAGAGGGTATTGATACGGATTCGGGCCGCTAGCCGGAGGAGGTTGGGTGGCTCGAGTTTCTGCTACCGTCGCGATTTGGATGGACTGTCCATCACGGCTTTTGATAATCAGTGAAATGTCCTGTGAGATCGCAGTTCCGACTTGAGGGAAAGTTATTTTGATACTGTGTCTATATAATCGTAGTGCGCCACATTTTTAAATATTTTATGCGTAGTACGAGATTCAGCTTCTTGTGGTGTCTTCTTTTCTTTGTAAGTGTTGTCACCGAAGAGCTTCGTACGTTGTTGGAGTAAGCTGTTGTGTTGCACACCACGCACGAATCGTTTTGTATCACTCGGCTGAAATGCCAGTTTGTTCATTTCTGGATGATTTAGCAATCGTTTGTCACGCTGCCTGCCTAGTGATCTACATCTATAGAATTTTGAGCAGTACGTATAGCGACCGCTTTTCCAGATTTTACTCCCCAGTCACTGGCTTCGCTCTTGGGTACCGATTACTTTCTCGTGTAGTGCTTATGTATGTGTCATCCGTGATCTGTTTATTCCCTTATGTTGTCTTTTTGATGGACGATTTAGTGCTTGTATAGTGTGATTGAGCCTCAAATAATCGACCAAGCACCATTGATTGCAAGGACGAGCAGTTTGTAGCCTGCAGATCACATATGCCTACACTTGTACCGGGCAGTTAACCGTAACTGACGGCAGAGTGTCCGTATCGATGATTGAGAGGCAGCTTTAGATGCATCATCGTAGCTTTTAAGATTTTTGAAATAAACTACTTTTGACTTCATTTGTGCATTGTTTCAAGCGTTTAGCATTTGGAAGATGAGTTTGAGACACTGCCATTTGACATTGTCATTGTCATTGGTGGTTTCACGCAGAACAAGTTTTTGCCTCGCCCTCTTTGTATTTCCTCTTTGTATTTCCACCCATTTCCGCCGTCACCGTTCTCATCGCTTGTCCAATAATTACGGAAAAAGAGAATATATGACTTAAACGTTCAATATTGAGTAGATTACTAAGCTTGCCGTCATTCTTCGTCCCGCCTGCGGTTCTCCGTTCGGGAGGCTGATGAGAGTTGAGCGGCCTGCGGTGAACTATACAAAGGTCAGTGGTCACTGCGAGTTTCAGCATACAGGGTGTCCGGAAATTATTTGCCCCTTGTTTATTCGGCATAATCCCACCGTGCGCTTAAAGAAATGTTGGAAATTTGCTGAGACCGTGCCTCAGGCTTTTCACAGCTGGCCGTTAGTCACGTGACCTACCCTGGTCACCTGACTTTGACACTGGTGAGGCGCCAGGGGCCAGTGTTCGGTAGACGTCAGTCGCACCTGAACGTGGTGTCTCCCTATGGCGAAAGAACACTCTTTGACAAAGCTCACCGCGCTGATGTTATGGTGAAGGCTGGAATGAAGCAGGAAGTCGAATCGAATCCTCTGTGCCAATCCCAATCGAAAACCTTCGGGGAATCATGAAGGACAAGCTTAGCAAGATGGAACCAGCTAAACACAGAAAACGGACTCCAGAAGAACCTGTGAAAGATGTGGCTGAACATCAGCGCGAATACTGTAGACATCGTGATCTATGAGATGCCAGAGGGGATGTGAGGATTGGTATGACAGGGTGGGGGATAAATCGCGAAATAAACCATGACCGGGGGGCTCTTTGTTTTTTAATAGGGCGGCGGCTGATGGAGGGGCAAATAATTTCCAGACACCCTGTACATACGGATTACGTGCCTCGGCTGTTCAACACGATCACAATTGACATTCGCGACGGCGCTGTTACGACACAATAGAGCGCTATGGAATAGACACGCCCGATGGGCTGCCCACAAGGAGGACGCGCCATCGACACACAAATGGCTGCATTGAGCAATCAATCCCTGTGGAATTCAATGGGAGCATTGCAGTCAATAGCCGCCGCAGTTGCAGTGGCCGATGGATCTTTAGCTGGAGTTGCGGTAATGACCGGTGGCGACAGGCGTGCTCAGTATCATAGTATGTGCCGGGAAGTAGTGTAACCTCGCTCCCATTAAATAATTCAGACAATGTCTCTATCTTGCAATGGACATGTAACAAAAAGTGCAGAATACCTCCAAATACGCCAACATTTATACCTGAAAAGCAGATTTACGGCACGAGTACATACCTACGGCTGGAATAATTTGCAAGTCATTTATCAGGAGCTGTACGATCGACATCTTCAAATGAAATGCTATCGAAATGTTGCACCAGTTACCGGTTTTCCGTCTGTTTGCCATGAAGTCATCATACCTTCTATATTTAGAAATCATACCTCGATCTCGAGAATTGATTCGGTAGGTAGGCTTGTGGCGCTGGTTCATGGTGTATGTGCTTCAAATCCTGCCAATAGATGACACCACCAGTCGGCGCCTGAAGTCATGCTGTGCCGCATGGCTCTGGATGAACTGCCCGCCGATCGCGGGCGACATACATACATACATGCGGTTCTCGCTCCATGCCGGACTGGCGTGCTTCTCTGACGTTTACTAGGTCCATGTCGTTCCACCAGACCGTTGGTTGTGCACACTTTGTTAGTTCACTCCAGTAATTGCTCTTCCGGCTGACTGGTGACATATTGGGTCCGTCACTGATCCTCCCCGGCTCTTTAGGCCGGTCGGGTCATTGGGTTCGTCAGCGCGTCGCCAGCCCGACTCGAGTGTCGGCGTGGCGGCCGGCGGAGAGTCAGCTCGGCTCGGTCGGCCTATCGACCAACACGGGGCGCGCCGATCCGCTCCCATCGAGCTGTGACGTCACCGTCGGTCCCGACGCCTGGCGCGGCCGCAACTGCCCGGGGCGACGGCGGCGCGAGAGACCGACCGGACGGGGCGACGGCGGCGCGAGGGACCGACTGGATAGGGGCGACACGGCGTGCGGACAGGGTGGTATGTTCAGGAAGTAGTCGAGAAAGAGAGCGACGCTGGTTGTTTCTGGGGAGTGGAGGTGTGCTTACATCCCAGGGAGAAGTGACGACATACTCATCCGCTCCCAGAGAGCATAATAAAGTGGAGGTGAGCTGTAGAGATGGCCAGAAAGTTGGTGCATTGTTAGATACTTGATACTGTGTTTGGGAGAAAGGTGTCACTCGTAATTACACTTGCGCTCGCCTCAAATGCCTGCTAAATTCATCCGATTTCGGATATGACCAAAATACACATACTCATAGAAAAATGTCGCTGGAGGGTGGGCTTAGAACAAGCATTGGCTGTGGCTGAGCTATCGCATGTAAGGTTGGTCGAGAGCAATTGAACGCTTGGAGGACGACCATGCATTTTGTTTCAGCTTTCCGTGCTATCTTTGCAAACGGTTCGGCGTAGGTGCCAAGGAGGGCGCATTTTAACGGCTGCCGCCGGCCGCCGCGCCGCAGCTCTGGCAGGGTGTTTGACTTCATATCTCTGTTGCTAGAAAAGTTGTGGACAGATTTACTTGATTCTTGCATGAAAAGATCCGCCATTCAATTCTTAGCATAACGAAAATTTGACGTCAATTGCACGATCCGCTGCCCATATTGTGGTACTGCCATCTATTGACAAGGCTTGCGAACTAAAGCCGGGCGGCTATTTCCACTTTTGACACACCATGTCATTCGACCATTTTCGTGACCTGAGGGCGCTGACCTGACCGTGACCCGAGATTAACACCCTAAGTTGACCTAACCTAAACAAAAAGTATATCACTCGACGCGCCTGAGCGAGACAAACGCGATGTTGCCAAAATCGCAGCTCAGCGGCCGTTTTTTTTCGCGAAGTTATTCACCAAAAAAGGACCCGTACCTTGGGGCTTTTGACCTGACCTCAGATGTCACCGGTTGACCTAGAACCTTAACCCTCGCATGTGTAGGGGGGGGGGTCGGATGGACCCCCCCCATGGTTTTTCGCGAATAACTCGCGTAAAAAGCGGCCGATCGCAACGAAACTTTCAGTACCCTCACATTGATCAATTGTACACCTACCCTGAAAATTTCATGACCCTGACCCAAATGACCTTTGACCTGTGACCTCTTTTCCGAGACCATGTTTGGCCGGAATCGCGATTCTGCGTATGTCGGCTCGCATTAGCCGCGCGTTTGCAAGCTTTTCGTGGTTTCAAACGTTCAAACATGTGATTTGATGTTGCTTCCTTGCATTAGGGTGGGTGTCAAGGTCACCGGAAGGTCAGGTCAGGTCATTGACCTTTGGTGACCTCGGTTCACTTTTTCGAGCTGTACATGTTTCTAGGCTAGTTTTTGGAGCTGAATTCGAATTTAGCAACCATTTGAACATTTACGAAGTAGTTTTGGTACCTTCGCAACATGTTACGAAGCTGTCAGAGGCGGTTGACACGTACTACGAATACCCGTCACGACGCCTACTGGTTGACCTGACCTGACCTGACCCGACCTGGTCTAAATGCTTAAAGACATCATCTGTGATCAAAACTAACACGATATTCGTGATCAGCACCCCGAAAAACCCCTTAGCAGCCACACTTTACGACTTTCTAACAGGTCCCGATTTTCCCGACTTTGGGTCATTGACCTGACCTGGAAGGTCAACCAATGACCTAGGACCTTAAAATTGGGTATCATCGGCTTCCTCTCGTCACGGGCAACACGCTCGTTTTTTCCGCGAAGCTCTAGCTCGATCAGGGGCCAAACGGCAAGGGGGGGTCCAACCGACCCCCCCCTACACATTAGAAGCTGGCAAACGCCGCACACATGCGAGGGTTAACCCGCGACCGCCTGGGGGGGTCGGATCCGACCCCCCCCCCCCCCTCCGTTTTTCTTGAATAACTCATGAACCACTTTCGCTATCTACTTGAAACTTGGCATACCTTCTCCCCCATTAATTTGACGTCTCCTGTGCAATTTTTAAGAAAAAATTTCCAAATTTTTTTTAGATATATCGATTTTAGTGATGTAACTACATGGCGTTTTTAGTCAAAAAGTGGTAAATGTTTAAAAAATCGCCATAAATCAGGGTTTGAAGCAAATTGCAAATTAAGGACATCAAAAGACGCAGCTCAACGAGTTCTTTAAAATGGCTATCTCGGATTTTCCGTAAAATGCGTTTTTCACCCCCAAAAATTCAAAAAACTATATTTTTTGGAAAACAGCTTATAAAATCCAAAATTTTGGAAATTTCCAAAAAAACGGAATATATGTGGTAGAGCTCTATAAGAAAATTAGATGCCCCAAATTTCAACTTTCTATCTTGATTTTTGACCCCCAAATTGTAAAAAATAGCTCCAACATGCATAGGGCATGGTGACGTCATAAGCATTTTCGTGAATTAGAGGCACTTCTGAACATCGCATGTGAAAACAAATGGCACCACTAGATTCCTGGGACAAAGCTCGTCTAGAAAAGTGCATTTTTATGTCAAAAATAAAAAGTTGAAAAATTGACCTTTTTTCTTAGCCCTCGTTTAGTTATGTATAGTATAAACGATTTTTTATGCTTTCAATGCACACTTATCACCAGCACAGTGACTTGGGGTCACTTATAACCATTACCATCGGATTCGGCGTGAAAAATAAGCCATAAAACATGTGTCGCACGCCCATGTAGCAGAAAGTGAAAACCGTGACCTTTCGTGACCTGACCTGACCTTGACCTGTACCTAGTATGACCCCTATACGCACATGGTACCTTCACTAGGCCTTTGAGGTCATTTTTGGTGAGTTTCGAGCAGCAGCTATCGATTCTGCTGTCCGTAAGCCGATTCATGCAAAACCCCTGAATTTGACCTTTGACCTGACCTTGACCCGAAAGTTGACCTCAATCTTAAAATCTTAAGAGTGCTTTGAGAAGGTCTCGTAGAGACCTTTCGAACGCCGCCTCGCGGGGCTCGATACGACCATTGGTTCTCGAGATAACAGGGGGGGGGGGTCGGATCCGACCCCCCCCCCCAGGCTGTCGTGGGTACGGAAATAGCCCAGGCGGTGCCGGGTTAAAATCGGGTATCAATCTCTGCGTCTCGTAACGGCGCACACGCTCGTGTTTTCCGCGACGCGCTAGGTTCACCAGGGGCGAAACGGCGAAGGGGGTCGTACCCGCCCCCTCCCCCCGCGGGCCGGCGCGTATGTAGAAAACCAATAGGTCCGGCGAGGGGTTAAAGGGACTATCCCACCTTTAACATGGGGTTTGAGTTGAGATAGCCAAGTTTGCGGCGAGGTTCAGAAACCACTATATATCTATCTAGGTTCCAACCCCCGCGGTGTTGAAGAAATTCGTTCCCTTCATTTGAAAATGGGCCTTGTACAAGGCCCTATCTTCAACATGGAGGGGCCGTTAGTGTGACGTCACCTCGTTTAGTCATTCTGATTTAAATGGGTTTGTTCGTTGAAAAATCGCTTGAAACTTGGTCTGAACTTTGTTGTGTGCCTACAGAGTAAAAAGAATCAGCTTTATGACAGTAATGTGGCCTGGGGAAGGAGGTAATTTTGGGCTGTGACGTCACATATTTGAAAGTTTGTGTTTGGAATATGGGAAGCCTAAGATGTTTAATGAAAAATAAATGCCAGAAACGTGTTCCTGGTCATCCAGTCGGGCACAATTTAACTGGTTTTAACAACATTTTAGAAGGTGGGATTTAACCCGCGCCCCAGTGGCGATCTCAGCCAACTTCGCCCTAGTGGGGGGGGGGGGGCATAAATACCACCCAGCTCTAACTAAAAAACTAAGAGGGCTAGAAGGACGCGGTAAAAAGCAGTTGATAGCTCTTGATGCGTACGTTTGAAAGTATTTAGTCATTTTTCATCTTAGAGCAATATTGGGGCCACCAGAGGTCATCAAAGGTCAAAATTTGCGAATTTTCATTATATTTTTCAGAAAACATGCCATTATCTCAGGAACTATGATAGCTAGAAAAACGCATGGGAAAGCAATCGATAGCTTTTAAACTCTTCTTTTGATGAGGTAATTATCAAAAATGATATCAGGTCAACAGTTTAGCCACCAGAGGGCAAACACTCCAAAATAGTTGTTTTTACGAAAATATTTTTCGACAATAACTTTTGACCAAAAAGCCACGACATTTCTATTGCCAGAATCGTGTTCCTCTCGCCGAGACGCGTCGAATGAACTATAATTTGATCTTAAAAGGTCAACTTGAAAATTTGACCTCAGGTCAGGTGACCTGACCGGAAAAGGTCATGTTGCATGTCAGTCGATGCGTCTCGGCAAGACAAACACAATGAGGCCATCCCCAGCGTCCTATCTCGTTCCAATCCAGAGTTATTGGCAAAAATATGTTTGTAGCCTCAAATGACCTCGGATGACCTTTCTAGAGGCTATCAGCAAAAAAGACACCTTGGTCGTCACGGGTGGTCCAATTCATTGTGATTCTGAGATAGTTGGACTGTTCCTATGCGTACACACGGATCTAGACGCATTTTCGTTTTTATCCATTGACTTATAATTGAAAGGTCACGCCACTGACCTGACCTTAGGTCACGGATATAAAAATCCGAGATATACAAGTTATATGCGCCCATAACATCATGCAATCCACCAAGTTTAAAACCTCTCTGATAAACACTGCAGGCTGGACATGATTGCAATTTTTTAGGCTTGGTCAGTTAACTTGACCTGGTGACCTGACCTGACATGACCTGGGGTCAAAAATTTCACACATTGTCCAAAATTGATGTACAAAAAAAGCATTGAGTTTAACACGTACAACCTAATCACCCGTCGCTCTATATACACATGTATCAAATGTTGTTGACAAAAACTGCTGACCTTTTATAAGATGACCTTAGGATCATAATAGGGTCACGTACCACATATTCCGTCAGGACCAATTATAAATTAAACACGAGGGGTAATAGTTCATACCCACCACCATCCGTCGAAGGATATACATAATTTGCATTTTTGCCAATGCTTACGATCAGACGCATGGGTTAAATGTTAATTCACGTGACTTTTCACGCCATCCTTATCAGTTTTTCCGTTCAATGAAAGTAGTCCACACTGTCGCTTTCGCTGCACTGACCAGGGGCACTGACCACCTGGTTCTGCGTAACACTTTTGGACCGTCGGTTACAAATTTGCTTACAAGTTTTATCTTAGCTTAATCAATACTCTTTGGTGCCTTATCAATGATTTTATTATATCTGTTTCGGTTCAAAATCATTTTGGAGTTTTTCCTATTGTTTGCATGTGAATATCTGGTGACAGCATATATTATATACTTCATATCGTTTTATACGTCTAATTTACTAAGATTTTGAGCTTATATTCGGTCAGACCAGCAAATATTTTATATCTTCTTAGCCGACGCCATGATAAATACTTCCAAGTGTTTCAAGATTTCGAACTCACAATCCTCGGGCTCGATGCCTGAACTATCAGGAAGACAGGTTACGTGCGTAAGTGCTCAATTCTGCAGCAGATTTGAATGACTGAGGTACGTCTTGTCCTGTGACAGCCGCATGTTAGGAATCAGTAACAGTTATAAGCCACGACAGTTCAGTGATGGGGAGGGACTGACAATAACCTTTCAGGGTGTGGGTGAGCATCACCACAACAATTTTCTTTTCTCGGCAGAAACGAATGAAAGCGATGACTTGAAATGAATGTTATCTAGTGCACGTGCGTGCAGGCCTCAAGTCGATCCTCCCGAATCCAGGCCGAATATCAGATGTCTCTACGGACGCTCTGGTTCCACCCTCACAATCAGTACGTATGCGATGTCCTCAGACAGCCGGTGGCGGTGATGAGAGTCGGGCCGCCGCCGCCGTCCGCCGGCGGGCAGCTGCGGCGGCTCTGAGCTGCGACGGCCGATGGCTGTGACCGGCGGAATGGTACGTCGGCAGCGGCAGCTCCTACTGCTGCTGACCGGCGGCGTGCTGCTGCTGCTCGGCCTACTGCTGGTCTACTCATCGTACACAGTCAGACGGTCAGTATATAAAGGACTGCTGGTCTACTCCTCCTACACAGTCAGACGGTCAGCATATAAAGGACTGCTGGTCTACTCATCGTACCCAGTAAGACGGTCAGTATACAGGGGACTGCTGGTCAACTCTTCCTATATCAGACATACGGTCAGTATGTATAGGGGACCATGCTGGTCTGCTCCTCAGTCCTCCTATCGACGCGACGCGCGGTGACGGTCAGTGTACAGGGGACTGCTATCACATGCTTCCGATCAGTAAAACGGCCAAGAGAGTGAACTTTGGCTGCCGGCCTATAACCCCTGCGCGTGCGCAGCCTGACAATTTTTATGTCTACAAAAGTATATGTGGATACTATATTGTGTAGTGTGATGGTTACTTCTTGAATCCAATGGGAGCCAATAATCAACGACGCATTTACCTAACTCTTTATTGACGCTACGTATGAACCTCGAATTTAAATCCGTACACTACCGTTTCCCAATCGCTGACTGGAACCATTCCCTTTGGTTTCAGACGGCCAGTGCCAATCTCTGAGCCTGTCTGCCGACCGCAGATTAACATCGCCTTCCTGAAGACGCACAAGTGCGCCTCCACCACGGTGCAGAATATCCTGTTCCGGTTCGGGCTGCGCCACAACCTGACCTTCGTGCTGCCGCGCCAGGGCAACTACCTGGGCCGCCGGGAGCCGTTCCGGGCCGAGCTGGTGCGCCACCTGCCCTGGCACCCGCTCGGCTACAACATCCTGGCCGTGCACAACCGCTGGGACCACGGCCAGGTGGCCAGCGTGATGCCGGCCAACACGACGTTCGTGACAGCCCTGCGCGACCCGGAGGCCGTGTTCCGCTCCATGTACGCCTACGTGGAGCACGACCGGTTCATGCCTCTGGACGAGTTTCTCGAGCAGGAGCCGATCCCTGAGGAGCGGTTCTTTCACGTGCTGGGCCGCAACCAGATGCTGTGGGACCTGGGCCTGCCGGAGGAGCAGCTGACCGACCCGGAGGCCATCGACCGGCTGGTGGCCGACACCGAGCGTCGCTTCCACCTGGTGATGCTGGCCGAGAGGATGGACGAGTCACTGGTGCTGCTGAAGCACCTGCTGTGCTGGCGGACCGAGGACGTGGTCGGGCTGCGGCTGAACGCGCTCCGCCCGGAGGCGCGGGACCACCTGTCGCAGCGTGGGCGGCTGCGGCTGCGGCGCTGGCTCGCCGGAGACTACCAGCTCTACAACCACTTCCGGCGCGTGTTTGAGCGGCGAGTGGCCGAGTTCGGCGAGGAACGCATGCGCCGAGAGGTGGCTGAGCTGCGCGCCGCTAACGAGCGAGCTTTCCAGGAGTGTGGCATGGTGAGCAGCCAGGGCACCTCGCTCAGCCCGGACTTTGCCATGTTCAGCCAGCGAGTGACCGGCTTCCAGCCGCGCAACCGGACTCGAGATTGCGAAGAGCTGGCGCGGCCCGAGCTGAGCTTCGTCGAGCTGCTGCGCGAGCGGCAGCTGCAGATGGCGCGTGACGTGATGGGCGTGACACCGCACCCGTCACGAACCGCCGCGGGGGAGATGACTCGCCGCGAATAGACGGTGCTAGGTACTGTGATATGGACCAAACTTGCGAGAAATGTGCAGTGCGATCGTATGCAACGAAATTAAACGTTACTGCCGTCTATATGTAGTAGCGCTAGTGTTGTTAGCATAGGCATGTGACGTAACTTTTACCTATGTCGCTGGTTATTGCTCTGGTTTCGTTGTCTTCAGCAATAAGTCATACAAGAGGTCATTCACGGCAGGGTTTTTTTCGCAAATTATGTTTGAAAAAGCAAATCATTACCTTCCGCGGGATAAGGATTTCAGTTGCAAAATGAAAGCGAATGCAAACATTTGTTTTGGGTCGTTCAGCTGTCTGTCTGAACTTCCAGGCACCAGTTGCATGTTGATTTATGTGTGTATTTATATAATCGAAAGAAACTACATATTCATGTATTTGTTTTAGCTTCCAGTTTTGTTACTTATCTTCTATTGACTTGTTTTGTCAATGATAGTGATTCTTGTGAATGACTCAGTATGCAATCATACCGCATTGACTGTCGCTTTGGATATGTGATAAGATTTTATAAGCAGTGCTTTTGGATAAGGAGTCTGAATTTAGTTAGCTCGGTTTTGAGAACTTTAGTAGCTGACCCTATGCAAATACATGGTGAAGCATGCGTATTTTGTTATTGAGTGATTTTGAAATTGCATTGCTATCGTTAATATATTCTGTGCGGGGGTAAGACGTAAGTTTTTTATCCAACGCCCGCAATTTCCTTGCACTCGAAGTTTTGTTGTTGAAGCTGCTTTTCATCCGGCCTTCTTCAATAAATCATAGTCAATGACTCATTATGTCAATAAACCGCCGGCGGAACCCGGGCGAAGGTGAAAAATGGCCACACGGCACTGCAGGCGCAGAGTTCATTAATTAACTGGAGGCGTGGCATGAGAGAACGATGCAACAGCCCGCGCAGTTTGCGGTCATGAGGCGACACCCATCGCTATGAGGTCTGTTCCTAAATATTCATTATTCTGAACAGACGTCGCATTTCCGCTGCTAACAGCCCACGGACTGGCACTGTGCCGGTGGTAGTCGTTGATTACTCCAGCCATCCAAAACTAGGGCTCCAAACCGACAACTTGAAAGCTGCGAGTCCGTGTGCTGAACGGTACACGTACATACTGCCTTTTGGTGCTCTTGGTAATCTGAAGCGGAGGTCGTCGTGATCAACCTCAGGCAGCAGAGATGGTGCCGAGTTATTTTTTCTTTTACTACAAATGTTTTATGAATGAATTTGTTGACTGACGTATTATGATATTGGTGATAACTGATAGTTTTCTTACGAGTATGAGGGAGTGCAATATCATTTTACCTATAGCAATATATCTATTGTAGATTAGGCGACCTACTGCATAAATTGATGTAACTAACTCGATCTAATTAGTACAGTTCCGGCCAATTCCATTACAACAGCTGGGGGTTGATTGCTTTCCCATTTTGCAGCATCGTCTTCCTCTGTTACGCGAGACCATTCATCGATGAGTTCACAAGTGTACATAAGATAAAGCTGAATACGCAAACAGTCACTGCACGTGTGTAGGAGTCATACCACATATGTAATTACATCCGGGGTCTCTCCATTTAACATCTGTCACTGCGCCCACGAGGACTTCCGGAGATGGAGGGGGAGGAGGGGGGGGGGGGGCAGCTGATGCACCACCATTGCATTCCTCCGACGCCACCTCCGTACTGGCCTACGCAGATGAGCCACAGCTTATCGTCAGCATGTCGTGCGCTATACGGCCTACGCACTATCGGCAATGGTTTTCAACAGCCATTAGACGTATTCATCAGTGCAGATAGATTATTGTGATGTTGGCAACCAACCACTTAACCCTCGCGGGCCCGGGGGGGGCGTTTTTCGCCCCCCCCCCCTGGCGAATATTTGCGATAACTCCCGAACGCTTAGGGATAGGAAGGCGAAACTTTCAGTACCTTTTCTCCCATCAATTTGACATCTTCTGAAGTAAAAAATTGGGACCTAGCCCCCTTGATGACGTCACAAGGTCAATTTTGCTAGACCCCTGCACGGCAAAAATCGGCGTCACAGACGCAAACTTCAAATAGCTGCTAAAAATAGAGTTTTAGAGATAAAGACAAATTACGAGCACGGGTGTGTAGCGTTTGACCTAGAGAAAAATAGAAAAATAGTTTTGGTGACCTGAGGTCAGAGGTCAGGTCAACGACCCCGAAATGTGGTTTTAGTTTTTCGCAAATAACTTCGACAAAAATGGTCCTAGAGCTACGGCAGTGGTACCATCGCATTCGCCTTGTCAAGCCGCGTCGAATGATATATATTTTGTTCGGAAAAGGTCAAGTTTCATGTTGACCTCATGTGACCTCGAATGACCTCTGGTTGACTTTGACACGTGAAAGGTTGTTTATGATGGATTTGTACCCGCTGATCACGAATCTGGCATCTATTTTCCTCTAAGCCTTCATTTAGAGCTTCCGGATGGCAAAATTGTCTTATTTATTATTACTAACTTGAATCAGTGAAATAGCCTCTAGCAGGGATACTCTTCTGTGACATTGACCTTTGAGCAGCCTTGTATCGTAAGATGAACCACAAATAGGGAACTGATAAGCCTCAAAACATTTCAAAACATCTTGGAAGTTAGCACGCAAGATGTGCGAAAAAGTGACAAGTTTGAGGTCAATTTTGAGCGTGACCTTGACCTTGACCTTTGATTTAGAGCACATTTTCAGAATCCTCAGATTCTCTTCTTTCGTTTGACACCCAATTTTGCCGGTTTGATGCAGCCTGCCGTCCTCTAGAAGGCTTACTTTGAGATCACTACACATGTGCCGGTTTTGGCCTTTGACCTTGACCTCTGACCTTGAAAATTGACCTGAGGTCAAAAATTTTAGGTGCATTAGAATCGTCTCGTAAGGACCTTTCGTTTGGTATCGCTTTTGTTTCCCTAGCTCCCTTATTTACGGAGTTAGACAGGGGGGGGCGAAAAACGCCCCCCCGGGCTGCGGTGGTTGGGATTACCCCCCGGGCCCGGCCGGGATAACATTGAGGGCCGTACATACGACGTGCGTTTTAGTACGTTTCGTGCTGGACGCTGGTGTACCCAAATGTGATGCTACTTTAGACGTTATCGTGTATAAGTATTAAGTATCGCCTCACTGGCGATTTTTTGCCCGAAAGACGTTCAAAGGGGCATGGAGGCAAGAGCGGTGGCGGAGCAGTGCAGGGGGCTAAAAGAAGCAGTTGGCGCTCCAAAAGTTTTATAGGGTTTGTCAAGTGTAATAAAAAGTGAAAAGGTAATGATACGAATTACAGCTGGTCTGTAAGGGTGGCCGGTTGCGCGAGTCGCGACCGAGCGCAAGGCATCACCATAAATGAGCAAACTAGAAGTCCTCTGCGAGACAAGGGGTCATAAAATGCCGTTAGTTGTGAGATGTGACATAAATTCTGTGAGTCTCATGAGAGGATGCCACGAGCCGCGCAGCAGTTAATATGTTTGATTTTGGCGTACTTATCAGCCAGTCTTGTACGTCTTCACATGGACGTGTTTTTATTGATTTGTGAAACTTGTGACCGACTTTCAGAAATGATATAACCGCAGCAGGCTTTTCCGATGATCAAATTTACCTCAGATCAATGACCAGAATATGAGGAAATTCTAAACATGCTGCGCCTTGTTGATGCAAGCTTTTTTTGATAAGTAGGAGTTCTGTTTTCGAGGGCTGCCTTTGTTTTGCTTGAAACTAGTGTTAAGTATGAAAAGTCGTGTCAGTTCAGATCAGGTCAACCGTCAAATGCTCCACAGCTTTTTCTTAGTTAATTTGTATGCAGCTCACACATCTCTGCACGTTTCCAATTACTGACAGTTTGAAAAAAAAATAAGTATGTACAAGCCATGGGCACTGACTTACAGGAAAAACATTATTTTTAATTGTCGGACAACGTCCGTCGCCTATTAAATTGCTCGACAGCCAAGTTTCAAGAAGCTAATTACAGAAACTCCCTTCGCAGTTGTTAGAGGCAAGGGGGCACTGCAAAACGATGGCATCGTTTTCTCATGATAATTCCATTACGTGCAAGTGTTCATCGGCGCTCGGGGTCTCCTATATAAGTGAGAAGATTGCTCACTTCCCCACTTCGGCAGTGGAGAACCTACAACAATGCACTTCCTGCAGTTGCTCGCCGGCTTGCTGGTGCTTCACCAGATCAGTGCCTCAGCATTGAGGCTGACTGGGATGAAGACATCGGCCCAAATGAAGGGCGCCCCAGCTGACATGAAAATGAAGGCTGATATGAAAATGAAGTCTGATGTTGACATGAAAATGAAGTCTGACGCCGATATGAAGATGAAAATGAAGAGTGCACCTGCCGACATGAAAATGAAGATGAAGAGTGCCCCAGCTGACATGAAAATGAAGGCCGATGCCGATATGAAGATGAAAATGAAGAGTGCCCCAGCTGACATGAAAATGAAAATGAAGAGTGCCCCAGCTGACATGAAAATGAAGTCCGACGCTGACATGAAAATGAAGGCCGATGCCGATATGAAGATGAAGATGAAGAGTGCCCCAGCTGACATGAAAATGAAGTCTGACGCTGACATGAAAATGAAGGCCGATGCCGATATGAAGATGAAAATGAAGAGTGTCCCAGCTGACATGAAAATGAAAATGAAGAGTGCCCCAGCTGACATGAAAATGAAGTCCGACGCTGACATGAAAATGAAGGCCGATGCCGATATGAAGATGAAAATGAAGAGTGTCCCAGCTGACATGAAAATGAAGATGAAGAGTGCCCCAGCTGACATAAAAATGAAGTCCGACGCTGACATGAAAATGAAGGCCGATGTCGATATGAAGATGAAAATGAAGAGTGTCCCAGCTGAGATGAAAATGAAGATGAAGAGTGCTCCAGCTGACATGAAAATGAAGATGAAGAGTGCCCCAGCTGACATAACAATGAAGGCCGATGCCGATATGAAGATGAAAATGAAAAGTGCACCTGCCGACATGAAAATGAAAATGAAGAGTGCTCCAGCTGACATGAAAATGAAGGCCGACGCCGATATGAAGATGAGGTCCGATGCTGATATGAAGATGAAGATGAAAATGAAAGAATCACCAGCTGAGATGAAAATGTATGGCGCAGGAGCTGCATAAACGATTGGAATTTGGAATGCAACCAGACTTATAAACGGATACCTAGTTGATTTCGGTTTTGTAACTGCTTTTGGGTGCTCGGTCTTTGGTAATGGATAGCAGTCCAGTGATATATCGTTTGTTGAAGATGGCTGTATCTGAGTGTAAATAGTGCGTCATCGGTTATGCTGCCTATTTTTCTGACCTGTCAATGTTATCTGGCTGTACCTAATTGAGCCATGTCACTTTGTGGATTCAATCTTACGGGCTGTCTTCAATTCTTGATGCTTATCATTGCTAATAAACTCTTATTTGTCATAGTGTGATATCTTTATTTGCCCAGCTGCGGATGTTGGGGAAATATGAACATCCTTATCCATTGCCGCTGATTTTTGTTGGATGTCAAAATTTGTTCTTGTTGTTAACCCGCGCCCTGGTTGGGTCTGTTTATAACGCGACCTGGGCATCGTTTCATAAAGCGAGTCCGTAACTTACGCCAGTTTTTGGTCTTGTATTGCAAGTGCATGTGAGGCGATTACGATAGTTTGAATCATTCTGTTCTTGCAAGCAAGAACAGAAGGGAGAAGGGGAAATAAATTTATCGCTTTACATGCGCTTGCAATACAAGCCCAAAAATCGGCGTAAGTTACGGACTCGCTTTACGAAACGATATAGGCCCTGTTTGGGGGTGGCTATTTTTTGCCGCCCCCCCCTCGTATCTCCGAAACTACTGAACGGATCCGCAAAATTCAAAAGGTGTTCGAAAGCCCTGTCAAATTTGTTACAGGAAATCCAATTTCAATGACCTCGGGGTCACCGATGACGTCACAGATCAGGTCATGATAAAATGTTTTGCCGGTCATGGGTCTTCTAGGGAATGCGCTATAACATCGAATAAAACGCATTTTATCGAAAAACAGTGATAGTGCGTCAGTTGCCTAGTAAATGTGTTGCTATCAGAGGTTACTGATAGTACCAGGTCAGTTGACAGGTTAGGTCACCAAGGGTCAGCACGAGAGATGTCAATCGGATACCAACTTTTTGGTATACCGAACCCAACCCGATACCAACTTGGCATTTGGTATTTTAACCCTCGCCCGTATATAGGGGGGGGGGTCGAACGGACCCCCCATGGTTTTTAGCAAATAACTCGCGTAAAAAGCGGCCGATCGCGACGAAACTTATAGTACCCTCGCGTTCATCAATTTTACACCTACCCTGAAAATTTCATGACCCTGACCCAAATAACCTTTGACCTGTGACCTACTTTTCGAGACCATGTTTGGCCGGAATCGCGATTCGGCGTATGTCGGCTCGCATTAGCCGCGCGTTTGCAGTCTTTTCGTGGTTTCAAGCGTTCAAACATGTGATATGATGTTGCCCCATGCATTAGGGTGGGTGTCAAGGTCACCTGAAGGTCAGGTCAGGTCATTGACCTTTGATGACCTCGGCTCACTTGTCTGCTTTCTACGTGTTTCGAGCGGCGTCTCGTTTTAAGCGCCATAGCGCTTCTACGCCAATCGTAATGTTTCGACAAGTGTGAATATGGATGCTCAAATAAATCATCTCTCTCTCTCTCTCTCTCTCTCTCTCTCTCTCTCTCTCTCTCTCTCTCTCTCTCTCTCTCTCTCTCTCTCTCTCTCTCTCTCTCTCTCTCTCTCTCTCTCTCTCTCTCTCTCTCGAGTTTTACATGTTTCTAGACCAGTTTTTGGAGCTGAATTCGAATTTAGCAGCCATATGAACATTTACGAAGTAGTTTTGGTGCCTTCATAACATGTTACGAAGTTGTTAGAGGCGGTTGCCACCTACTACGAATACCCTTACTGGTTGACCTGACCTGACCTGACCCGACCTGGCCTAAATGCATGAAGACATCATCTGTGATCAAAACTAACATGATATTCGTGATCAGCACCCCGAAAACCCCCATAGCAGCCACACTTTACGACGTTCTAACAGGTCCCGATTTTCCCGACTTTTGGGTCATTGACCTGACCTGCAAGGTCAACCAATGACCTAGGACCTTAAAATTGGGTATCATCGGCTTCCTCTCGTCACGGGCAACACGCTCGTTTTTTCTGCGAAGCTCTAGCTCGATCAGGGGCGAAACGGCAAGGGGGGGGTCCAACGGACCCCCCTCCCCCTTATACGTTCGCGGCTGGAAAAACACCAATACGGGCGAGGGTTAAGGCGGGTGCTTTGGTATTTTGTCGGTATTATGAATCCTCACCAATGTAAAAGAGGCTGAGAATTTGGAAAAGTTGGTATTTCCCTCATATTCCCAAGTCGGCTCGGTTTCGGTATTTTTCCATGGGTATTGTTGGCATTTGGTTTGGTATCGGTGTTAGAGTGAGTTTGCGAAATCGGTGGATCCGCGGAGTCCCTAGGGAATCCACGGAGTCCCTAGTGTCTCCGCGGATGAACATCAAGTCTAGTATATTCGCGGATAAACGGGCGGAGATCCGCGGATGAACAAGACTCTTCAGGATAACCGCGAACTCCCTGAAGAGTTCACGAGATCCGCGAACCACCCGGGGAATCCGCAGAGCAACGATTCATTCTAGTGAGTTTGCGAAGTTCCTATGCGTTTCATGCAGCTATCTTATGACAAGAATGCAAGGCATATCGGATAGATCGTCTGCGACTTAACCCTCGCCCGTATTGGTGTTTCCCCAGTTGCTGTTGGAATTCACCGAGTAGGTACCGATTCATTCTAGTGAGTTCGCGAATTATTCTTTCATCTCGCTTGGACGTCGCTCGCAAATATTAATATGCAATTAAATAATGGACGGTAAACCATTTTTGGCGTGGTTGAACTTCTGCGACCAGTCTGCTTACTTTTCTCCCAACCATGAATGGAAAGCTGGAAAGGCTACCGCGCATCTGAGCGATCATGTGAATGTATGCAAGTATATATGAATAACAGTAATGCTCACTCTTTCCCAGGGACGGAGCTTCCTGTATGTACAGTTGGTAGGGCAGTTGCCCCCCCCCCCCAACTTGCCCTTTTGCCACAGCCGACCTGACTCGACCGGTCAGCACCGCGCCTACAGACGCTCCAGCCCGGCGCCACAGTATCTATTCTGGGGAACATTTGGACTGGAGGGGCAATGGCAATGCTGAACTCCGATACGAGAACGCAACACGTACATATCAACCCGCCTTTGAATATAGTTATTTGACCCAAGTTGACGGTAATTGGCCGAAGCCATTGCGTACTTGCAAACAAACTAATGAAAACTTAATCACGCATTGGCATTAATTGAGGTTGTTGGCTGTTGCGTCTCAAAGGCGATTAAAAAGACAGGATGTCCCCTATGCTATTTGGAATCGACCTGGAATGTCAACCAAATACCAATGGCCTGGGGCCGTATGGTTTGGGACTTGGGTATCATGGGCTTCTTCTATGTAATCACGGAAAGCAAGCTATTTTTTTCCGCGAAAGGTTTAGCTCGATCAGGGGCCGCACGGCAAGGGTTCCAACGGACCCCTCCCCCGCGGACCCCTCCCCCCGCACACGGTAGCGTCCGAGAAAACAATAATACCGGCGAGGGTTAGCCCTAGCCCCGTTGGGGGAGGCAATTTGCCCCCCCCCCCTCCCCTGTGGTTTTTCCTGAATGCCAAAATTTTTAGTTCCTTCCCTGCCATCAATTTGACATCTTCACACAAAATTTCAAGTCTTACGTCACCTTAGTGAGGAGTTATTGAGGTCAAACTGAGGTCATGTTCGAGCAAAAATGACCAAAAAACATGAAATCTTGAAACCGTCACAAAAGCTACGGTTACCAAGCAATTTCAAAGTTCTTTATGTAGTTGTGTAGAAATAAAACGGCACTAAAAAAACTGTTATCTCCGATTTTTAAAATTGTGGGATTTTAACCCCCCCAAAAAACCTAGTTTTTTTAGAAAAAAAAACGCAACTATCCCAAAAATTTTCGCATTACGAAAAACCGGAATATGTATGATAGTCCGTGCGCTCTTCTATCTCCATACCAAATTTTAGATCGATATCTCCTTTTTTGGCCAAGCTATAGCGAAAAAAACTGTTCAAAATTGATGACGTCAAATTTTTGAACTCAATTTTTAGCAATTCTAGACCACGTAGCGCAAAACAAAGACCACCATTAGACTCCCCGTGACGAGCTGCATCGAATCGATTACCATTTTATGCGAAAAAAATCAACTTAAATTTGACCTAATTTGACCTGACCTTGACCTGAACTTCACCAGAACATAACCTTAACTGGCCCCAAAGGCTGCCTGACCCACATAATCGCATTTGTCATGTAAAATGAACCATAAAACATGCATCATATGATATTTTCATTTTGTGACCCTCAGTGACCTGACCTGGCATCAGTGACCTCAACTAGCAAAATATGTGTTTAATGAACAATTCCCCATCGATGATTTTCAATGACATGCATTTTACTCGATTTTACAACACATTTCTTGAAATGCCTGTAAACGGTGAAAATTCGACATTTGACCTGACCTGTGACGTTATCGCTTTGACCTAGGTAAATGAAATTGGGTCACAAGGTAGTTTTCCGCTGGGGCTATCCAACACTGTTTGCGGCTTGTTGCTATGTTGCGTGGTTCTCGAGATCTTAGGGGGAGGGGGCCAAAATGCCCCCCCCCCCCACAACAGGGCGCGTTGCTCCGGCAGACCCCAACGGAGCGCGGGTTAAGTCGCAGATGATCTACCCAATATGCCATGCATTGTAGTCTAGGTAGCTGCACGAAACGCATAGGAACTTCGCAAACTCACTAGAATGAATCGTTACTCCGCGGATTCCCCGGGTGGTTCGCGGATCTCGTCAACTCTTCAGGGAGTTCGCGGTTATCCTGAAGAGTCTTGTTCATCCGCGGATCCCCGCCCGTTTATCCGCGAATATACTAGACTTGATGTTCATCCGCGGAGCCACTAGGGACTTCGCGGATACCCTAGGAAATCCGCGGATTCACAGATTTCGCAAACTCACTCTAACATCGGTATCACAATTTTCCATAATTGACATCACTAGTCACTAGTCAGCACATGAACCCAATTTTAATAGGGCTGTGTGATGTGACGCCAAACTCTCAGTTCCTTCGGCTACATCCATTTGACACCTTGT